TGAGCTCATGCCAGATAAGGCAAAAGCCTAGCTGATCAGGTGATTTTTCAGCTTTGCTTCCATATTTGGCCTATAAAAGCTGGCTGCTCACACTGCTGGGTGGAGCTCTGAATCTCTTCTGGTTCTGAGTGCTGCCAGATACATTCTTTGTTCAAATAAACTTTGTTAAATATAATATGTCTAAAGTTCTTCTTTCAACAATCCTTTATCCTCTTTTTTTCCTCCCACTGAATTCAGTTATAGATGGTGTCTTTATTCTTTTAGAAAATAATCACATACATATTTGACTTTACTATATTCTAATTAAATGTAAAGTTAGAATCTCTAATCTCCTTTCTAACAACATAAAGACTTGACCTCACTTTAGCTCCCCTCTAAATGCTATCATCTTGCTTGTGTTATGTGCTTGTATTGCGCATGCTGATTTCTAAATTTTAGTAACATGAAAAAGTATTTTTAAACAGCCAATACAATTGATATTTGCAACATATTTAATGGTTTCTTTGCTCATCCATCCTGTATTCAATGTATTTATTTTTTATCCTGCTGAAGTACATTATATAGTAGTTCTTTCAGCAAGAGCTGAGGGCAGTAAACTCTTAATATATTTGAATTTTTAAATTTATCACTCACTCTTGAAAAATTATTTAGCTTCGCATAAAGTTCTAGCTTCATTATTCTTTCCTCTCAGGACTTTAAAGATATTGTTCCATTTTTTCTTATCTTTTCTTATCATGTATCTAGAAAGTAACTAATTTGCCTTTGATTTTACCACCTCATAGGTGGAAGGGGCTTGCCTTGTCTGAGATGAGACTTTGGACTGTGGACTTTTGAGTTAATGCTGAAATGAGTTGAGTCTTTGGGAGACTGTTGGGAATGCATGATTAGTTTTGAAATATGAAGATGTTAAATTTGGGAGGGGCCAGGGTGGAATGATATGGTTTGGCTGTGTTCCTACCCAAATCTTATCTTGAATTTCCACATGTTGTAGAAGGGACCTGGTAGGAGGTAATTGAATCATGAGAGCAAGTCTTTCCCATGCTCTTCTTGTGACAGTGAAAAAGTCTCGAGATCTGATGGTTTTAAAAAGAGGAGTTCCCCTGCACAAGCTCTCTCTTTACCTGCTGCTGTCCATGTAAGATGTGACTTGCTCCTCCTTGCCTTCCACCATGATCGTGAGGCTTCCCTAGCCACGTGGAACTGTAAGTCCAATTAAACCTCTTCCTTGGTAAATTGCCCAGTCTCAGGTATGGCTTTATCAGCAGTATGAAAATGGAAAAATACACCCAATATTTAAAAAGTTATGATATTTCTAGGTAAATTTTTAAAAAATATTATGCTGTGGTTGATAAAGCTCTTAAGATGAAAAATAGACTTATTTTTATTAAAAGGTAAAGAGTGACGTAATGGGAAGGAAAGTTGTATCAGTTTGGGTCCCTCAAGGAGCGTGCACCAAGACAGAATTAAACATTCAGAAGTTTTACTGGGATAAACACCTGTGAATGATACTGGTAAGAGGAAGTAGGAGTGACTAGGGAGGGCCTTAAGACCTCAATGCTAATCCAACATGCATGAAGGGAGAGTGGGAAGGAAAGAGGATCAATCGAAAGAGCTCAAAACTTCAGTGCAGCTCTGAGAAAGACTTGGTCAAGACAAAGTGGATTCCCTTACTGTATTAGTGTATTCTCACACTGCTATAAAGAACTACCTGAGACTGAGCGATTTATGAAGAAAAGACGCTTAATTGACTTACAGTTCCACAGGCTGTGCAGAAGGCATGACTGGTGATGCCTCAGAGAACTTACAATCATGGCAGAAGGGCGAAAAGGGAGTAAGCACATCTTCACATGGCAGCGGGAGGCGGGAGGGAGGAAGAGAGAGAGAGAGAAGGAAGTGCTACACATTTTCAAACAACCAGGTCTCCTAAGAACCTGCTCACTGTCACGAAACAGCGAGGGGGAAATCCGCCTCATGAGTCAATCACCTCTCACTAGGCCACTTCTCCAACACGTGGGGATTACAGTTCAACATAAGCTTTGGGTGGAGACACAGAGCTAAACAGAGCATATCACCTATCAGAGACTGCCTAATATTGGAGTGCCATGTTGGGCAGAAACAACCCGGATCTGTTACCTCTGCTATGCTCAGTAACCAGCTAGGAGCAGCCTGGGGAGGGTATTGCCTCAACATCACCACTGTGGTGGATCCTGAAGCTGTGGCATTTAGAGGCTGTCAGCCAACTATGCTCCGTGTAGAAGGTTCTTTTAAAGGACAATCTGATGGGGCACTCCATGGTGGCCACAGAAATTTATTTAAAATATACTTTTTTCCAGAGTCCCTCCCTCAGCCCTCCAAATAAAAGAAAAACTACAAAATCTTTTCTATAAAACAGCAACTGATAGATTATTTCTAGAGACATTATTATGTTTATTTCTAGAGACAATATTAAGCTTTCCCTTAAGTAGAATTGTAGAATTCAGAATCTGGTACAGTGCCTGGCACATAATAGGCACCCATGACTATTTGTTAACTAAATTGTGCCATTTGATTTGTTTCCTCTCCTCACATCTAATAAATATGATACTCTTTATTAAAGCCAGGTACTTTAGGTTTGGCATTTTTAATCCTTACAATAACTCTATACTACAGACATCATTAGACATTTTTACAAGTAGATACACTGAGGCTCAGAGGGGTTAAGTAACTTGCCCAAGGTCACACAACTATAAGTGGTGGTTCTAGGATTCAAATCCAGTGCTGCTCTGAAGCATGGCAGAGGCTCTCTTTCCTCTTTGTCCTTGGTAGTCTGAATAAGGCAAACTAATTAATGCATGTGAGAGGTGGCAATCACATAACATGAAGCTGAAATAAATCTCATATATTATCTAAACCAGTATTCCTCAGCCTTGGCGGAGCATCAGAACAATTTGGAGAACTTTTAAAATATTCGGATGATCAGGCCGCATCCCAGACTAACTAAATCACTATTTTGAGAGGTGGATCCAGGCATCTCTATTTTTTTTTCCTAAAGCTTTTTAACATAGGAACTTCTAATCTTCTCAAGGTTAGGCATCGCTGGTCCTGTCCAAGCCCTTCTCATATTACAGATTGGGTAACTGAGTCCCAGAAAGTCAAGTTATCATATCTGACCAAAAGTGCTGGAACCAGAGGTCATATGAAGATTTCTTAGCCCCATGTTGCCCTCTAGGAGTTTACCTGAAATTGTTGTTGCAGCCTATGACACTGCCATGGTGAAGGACTCTAGTCATATGGCAGTCCTTGTGTGCCCTCTGGTGGGTTAAATGGGTAAGGAGTCATTACCTGGGGCAGTACTTAAAAAGGTGGGTGGATGCTTTGCAGGAGGTCACATTGCCTAATCAAAACATTTCATGTGGATTTATACAAGCTGGCTGGTTAGGTAGCGGGGCTTTACATCACTTTTGGACTTTGAAGGAAGAAAACAAGATAAACACAAAAACAAAACCCACCATGCTGAATTGGTTAAGTGCCTTGTCTTCAAAGACATGCTGTATAATGCCATCTTTAAATCACATAAGGCACTCCCTCACATTAGAGCTCTGGGAGAAATTTTTTAAATCTCAGAATATCTTTTATTAAAGGTGTAGACTCTTGGTTCATCTCACAGGTTTTGCAAACAAACCTGAGGACAAATTCTAGCTCCACAGTTAATCTCATAAACTTCAGTGAATCAGGCAGTTATCATTAATCCCCAGCTTTACCATCTGAAATGGCATTACAACCTACTTCATACAGTTGTTGTGGAGATTAAACGTGTATATGCAGGGTGTGGCACTGGCCCTGGACCTTAAGTCCCCTCCACCCTGATGCCTCACAAAACGGTTATCCTATTATTGGAATGACCCATGTTGGGTACATTTCTACTATGGCTGGACAAAACTGTCAAATAGGAAAGTAATAGTTTCAGTGCAATGTGATATAACCTGTGCATTGGCATTCCTCCTGTGACCTGCTTCCCTTGTCCTCAGAGAGCACCTGCCACCCTCCCGCCACCCTTTGTTGCAGACTTCCACAGACCTTCCTGTGGCAAGCAGAATTTGGAACTCTGACCTTTCCTTCATCAAAATATCCTTTGCATGTAGCTGATTTCTCATTCCTGGGGCATTCCAATGTGAAAAGGGTGAGAAGTTGAGGAAGAACCACAAAAAGCAGAAGCATGAGTGATCAATGCAGCAGGAGAGAAAACCGGGGAGTGTTATTCTACAGGACAAGTAAAGAGCGTCTCAGAGGGAGGAAATGACTGACTGGGTCAAGCAAGACAAGGACCAAGAGGTGACCACTGGAGTTAGCAAAATGGAGGTTATTGGTGGTGGTGACTAAGGCAATTTTGCTGTAGCAGTTGTGGTAAAATTTTGATTGGAGTACAGAATTGGATACATCAAGCACAGACTCTTCTTTGGGGATGTTTTTCTGTAAAGAAGAGCGAAGCAATGGGGTGGAAGCTAGAGAAAATGGCTTCTTTTTTAAGATGAGAGAAATAACAGCATATTTATAATGCCAAAGAGAATGATCCAGTATTGAAGAGGAAAACTGATGATGCGGAAAGAAGAGGGAAGAACTGCTAGAGCAGCATCCTTCTTAGGTCAGAGGGAATGAGATTGAGTACAGAAGTGGAGAGCCTTGTAGGAGCACAGACACACTGCATTCATAATAAAGGGAAGGGTAGGCAGAGTCTATGGGTACAGATCCTGTTAGGTGAAGGTAGAGATAATAGAGGCTTATGAAAGTTGCCTTCTGATAGCTTCTGTTTTATCAGTGAATGGGAAGCAAGATCATCACTGACAGGGGCTGCTATAAAGTGAAATAAAGTCCCATCACGAGAGCAAGTGATCAGCTCAGTTTCTGAAATAGAACTCAGACTGTTGGTGATGTGCTCTAGTGGGTAAGAGGTTTTGTTAAAAATACTTAAATTATGAGGTTCCCATAGGATGTCAGTGTAAAATTCAAATAACAAACACATGTGATGCTCTGAACTTTATTTTCTAATAACTATTTAAACCACTCTACAAAATGCTCTACAACATTAAGAAAACCTCAGCAAAATTTGGGGTTGGAATTAGACTGTTTATCATCAAAATATCATGCAAACACTTACTTTCTTTAAGTGTTTAACTTATTTAACTCTGTAGAGTTCTTTATAGATGATGGTATATTTAAATTCCATATGTGACAATGAGAATTTACCCCAAGCATATAACTCTTTAAGAACATAGTAACACACATTTCTTTAAACTGTTTCAGATTAAGTTTTTCTTTTTATCACAGACACGAAAACCAAGTTCAATCTTTTCCCCCATTACAGCCTTGAGCTTGTGGCAGATTTGCACAAAGTATACCAATTTCTTCTGGAATTCTTTATCTAGTGATGCCAGTGGTTCATGCCATCACAGGTAGAAGAGAAAGCTGGCTAATTCTAAACTGGGTTCTTTATGAATGCTTTGTGCCACCAGAAAGGTCAGCTTGCGGGCATACTGACATGGGGCTGGGACACTGATTAAGCCCTGAGGAGAAAAAAAGTATTGATAATAATTAATAGAATACCATGTTTTTCAAAGTAATTTTTTTTTCATTTTATTTCGTCTACTGGTTACACAGACAATAGAATGGGTTTCTGGGTAAACAATAACTAATCTCAACCAACAAAAGGTAACCTAACTCACTGGGAACTGAAGCTCACTGGGGAGGATGGAGTGAAAAGTCACTCTGGCTTCATGGCTCTGGGAGTAGGGAGCCATCACACTTTGGACTAGTCTTTTTCCTATGATCTCATGTTTGGAACTCCTTGGAGGAGCTCCGTGAAAACGCTGGCCTTGGCCTTTGGGAACAGCTCTTGGCCTAATGCACAGGAACAAAGGGGAGACCCATGCCTCTTAACACTTCCCCACCAGGCACATCTGAGTTGGCTTCAACTTCATCTGTAACATGTAAATAACAATATACTGATTTCCTCCTAGGTTTGCATAAGATAATATATATAACAAAGTCCTCTAGAAACTATAACTATTAATCTGTTATAATAGTTATTTTGTTTCTACGACAGACTGGTGCCTCCCATTGTGGACTCAGGAAGTGATTCACGCATTCATTCATTCATTCCTCCTTTGTGAAATATCAGGAATTGTGCTATATCTAGGGATACAAAGATGAAGCGTATGACAATTCCGAGGTGGGACTCTTGAGTATCTTATTTACATTAAGTAAACAGCTTTCACTCACCGGCCAGTTGTAGTACAGGTGGCACAATTTGAAAGTAAGTCTCTGCATGTGGTCGGGCTTCAAGCCGTTGTCATCATAGATGACATTATAGTAGGTAGGACTAACAGTTCCCCGACCAGCCACCTGGCTGATCAGATAAAAGTCATACCTGAGGGGGGAAATGGAATGAATGTGGGAAAGAAGGCAAATAAAAATAAAGTCAAATATAAACTGCACACAATGAATGTTTTGTTAAAAATTGATTTTCCAGTGGTACTTGCCATTCATTACGTGTTGCTTCTGAATCCACGACAGTGCCAAGTGGGGGGTTCTGTACAGTGCGGTTCATTTCAGTAAAGAATCGTGGCATGCACTTCTTCCTGACCACAATCACTGACAGTCTTGAGATTAAAGTTAGAGAGGCAAAATATGAAAAGAAAGGAACTCAATCCAATCTATGCAGCTTTCTATTTTTATGTAATTTTTAAAATGAAATAAATAAAAATTCCATGTGAAAAACACTGCAAAACAAAGAAAATAAAAATTACCCACAATCCCTCCTTCCCTAGAGATTCAATTTTTAAAATTAGGGATTGTCCGTATTTGTTGCAAAAGGATGCTATGCCAAGTCATTTGCCTAGTTTATACGACTCAAAGGGGTCAGGAAGGAATGCTGAATGTCAACTGGCACTTTTGCAGAAAGATTTTCCAGAATTATCCATGAAGACAAGATGTGTATGTGTCATTAGTGTCTTATCCTATTTTCCCCTTCACTCCTCCTCTCAATTTTATTTCCAAGTAGCAGAGGAAGAACCAAAAGTCCTTCCTATTCCTTTAGTCATCCCTTCTGTATTACACAAAACTCATGCCTGGGTGGATGGATGGATAGACCAAATACACATTCTGGCCAAATGCTGAATGCCGAAGTGTTATTGTATTTGGTAAAGCCAAGGTGAAATCCTAATATTCACTATTATGAAAGGAACCTCTGGGATGAAAGGAAACACTGGAGTTTCATTTTAAGCGTTGTAATTATTTTAAAAATTTATTAAAAATGTTTTCAGTATTGAAACTATTAAAAGTTGAGGTTATAATGCAAGAAAAGTAACTCCTTAGCACTGTCAGCTGCTAAATTTACTCCTGCATCCCTCAATTGCATACCTGGGATTCTTAATAAACACATGTACCTGAGATCAGAGAGGAGCGAGGGAGGTATTTTGGCCCTAACAGCTGGGATAAAGCTGCAGGTGATACTGCCACCAAGCTTTCAGGCTTCCCCTCCACTCTAACAATAGCTGACTGAGGTCAAGACTCAGCTCCTTTGTGACTTGTGGCTGTGACCCTTTCGTTGATGGTGATGATGGTGGTGTAGTCCTACAGATAGAGGTATGTGTCCTGCTTAGAATAAGATGCTTTCCAAATATTTTAAGAAGCTGACTTAAGATTATTGTCCTCTCCTGTTTTCCATTTCCAATATTTTCTTGCACTTGCCATTTCAAATAATCACTGAAGAAAATTTTGTACTGAAACAGAATCTAGAAACGTAACAGTGGAGCAAGATGCCTGGTGTTTAGGATGGTCTCATTTCCATCTGCAGCTCAGCTTTCATGGCACTCAAACCCCTTTAAGAACCTTCCATAGACCTTAAGTGCACATCAGTGCCTGCAATTCAGAGGCTTTGGTTCTGTGTGTATTAGGGCCTCGAATTTGAAAGCTTGTTTTCTTCCATGTGATATTAATATGTATGAAGCATTTTCACTGCCAGCAGCCCTGCAGGCTTCATGCTGAATCTGTGTCAGCTGCTCTGAGGATACCTTTCTTCAACTAGATTACCCCACCCAAGGCCCCCAAAGCTTTTTATGTTAGACCATCCCAACTACCGTCCAATCTGAAGGAAATTACAGAGTTCTGCTGGTATGATACAGAAACACAGCAAAACTTAATTGCATTAAAAAAACCCAAAAACCTATGCTTGAATACCTTGTGTGTAATAGCTATAATTGGGAGTGTGGAGGAAAGAACAATAATTTAATACCTGGCATTTGAGCTGGATTCTGCTACACTGCTCAGCAGCTGTGGGACTTCATATTCAATAAGTGTTTTCAGCTGACCATCCCCTACACCAGCACGGTACACAATTATCCGTGCTGGCAAATCGTGATTGTACTTGTACCATTTATTGAGTGCTCCTGCCGAATTTGGTGGAAGAAAAGAATTACTTTGCTAATGCCAACAAAAAATAACATTCTAAAATATTGCAATGTTTAAATGGGTTTTATATTTCAGACCACTGTAAAATAGGGCAATACATAATTTGGGTTATATTTGCAATAATATGACAATGGATAACTTTAGGGAGCATCACTCTGTCTCTGCTACTCTAGTAATCACAACGGTTTCTATGGCATGATATATTCTTACGCTTGGCCTATCTCTTAGTAAAATTTTAATACTTAAGCAATAAATTAAAATTTAATGCAATAGACATGAAAATGCCTAAAACCAAATTAACTTTAATTTAGTGTCTTCAAGTCTCAATAGATATTAGGAAGATAAACTTATCTAGTTTATGAGAATAAATATGAAAATCTAAGGAAATGGCTTTGCTGTTCCTCTGAAAACATATCTTCATACTGAATCACCCAATTGATTCCAATTCTCACTGAGGAGATGAACTCTGGAAACATTTCTACTCACTATAACTATGAATCTTCTAAAGAGCAGAGGCCATAGAGGAACTCGTACGCAACAGAAACCTTTAATAACTGCCAAAAAAATTTACCTGCTCAAAAATTGACCAGGTTTTGATGTGAGAGGGAAATAATAGAATGCAGTAATTATTTTCATGTATATATCACACAGTTATTTTAAAACAGTTTATTGTTTAAGAAATTCATTTTAGTTTGCTAGTAGGTAATCATGTATGTAAGTCCATTACCTACATGTATCAGCAAATACACTTTTTAAGAAAAAAATATTTACAATATCCCAAAATTTACAGATGGGAAAATGCAGATCAGGAGAGGAAAGGGTTTGCACAAGTCACACTACTAGGAAATAGCAAAGCCAGACCTAGGCCAGGACTGGTAAATAAATAAAAACCCTGTATTTGTCTTTGCATTGCATTGCATCCTGCTATGGACAGGGCACTTTTCCTCAACTGCTGTCATTCCCTTTTTCTCCTGCTTTGCCACTTTATCTGTTAGCACCCCTATCCTAGGCCTATAGGCTTCCTTCCTAGGTCTAGACTTAACACTGCTCTGTCATAACTCGAATTCCTCCACTGTAGGTTTCTTTTGACCTTCAAACTGCTTGCTAGGGAAACCAGCAGCCACACATTTTCCTTCCTCCTGTCTTCATGTTATTACACATAGACAAATGTAAATGTAAATGCTACATAGTCTGATTGTTGGCCTAAGTCAGCATGCAGCTTCGGAGATCTTCAACTGGATGACAGTTGACATAGATAGGTGTGGAGAGTTTGCTTTGACCTATGTGGTCTTCTATAGGCACATGGATTTGAGGTCTGAAGGAACAGTCCTTGGAGCCCCCCCACATTGCTATATTTTTAGTACCAGTCATGAAAACTTTTAAGCAATCTGCAACATCAGTGGTTGTTCTCTGAAGGATACAGCGTGAAAACCACCTAAAGTTAAAAAATAAATATAAGTAAAGTTCAACTTCAAAATTTCTACTATAAAATCCATTAATATTAAATTAAGATATAGACATTGTGAGCAAAAATCAATGAATTTTGTATGTGTTATGTGTTCACAATCAAAAAGTCCCTTTCCCCAAAAAGAATTTATTGAAAAGAGAAGCTAAAGCATACTGTTGGCATCAGCCATATCTAGCTTCAAATCCTAGTCAATATACTCACCAGCTGTGTAACTTTGCTATGTGAACCTAAGTCTCAGTTTCCTCATCTATACCAAGGAGATATACAAGATAAGCACATTAATTACTACCTCATAGGGTTGTGGTAAAAATTAAAACAGGTAATATATGTAAAATACTTAGCACAGTACTTGGCATATAATAAAAAGTAATAAATAGAGGCCACTATTATGGTTATAAAATAATGTCTTAATTTAGCAGTAGAGCTCCTACTATCAAAATATTCAAAGATTTCTGATGCACAAACTTTCATTTTTATAGGTGATCCTTTTGGATTAGAAATCTTAACGTTATTAACTTGTGTACATTTCAGAAACAAGTTCTCTTGCTACCACCATTAATTAACTTAAGTCACTTGGAAAATGATGATCATGACTTCATGTTAGGTATGTTCCAGCATTATTACAGTTCTCTAAATATATGCAACATTAGTAAAACAGCTATGTGTGGTGGCCTATAGTCACATCTACTTGGGAGGCTGAGGTAGGAGGACTGCTTGAGCCCATGAGTTCAAAACTGTATTATGTTGTCATTGCACCTGTGAAGAGCCACTGCATTCCGGCCTGGTCAACAAAGCAAGATCCCATCTCTAAACATTTTGTTAAAAAAACAAAAACAAAAAACAAAAAACAATACAATTAGGAATGCTGCCAACAAATTGGAAGTCTGAAAGTCCTGAGTGATATCAGCAAGGTGGGAAAATAGGAGCTTTTCCAATGGTGATGTTCCATGACATCACTGGAGTATAAAATCAGATGCATTAAAGAGGGTAACACAAAGAGATTCACTTTACCTGCATTGCTCCTCCCCAGGCAGGGCACAGCTCAGTGCCATGAGAGACCACATCAGACCATGATTTCTCTAACAGAGTGTAGTGAGTGAGTACCCAGCTCCCTCACCCCCTAAGATGCCCACTTTTTTCTTGCCTCACCAAGAACAAGATTATCAGCACAGCTGGGAGGTTAGGAGAGTCTGGGGGTAGAAAAGCAAGGCTGCAAATCCTACTGACTCCTCTATAAGCTTCATAAAGAAGCCCTCCTGTGGGTTTCTTAGGATACCTTGCTTATGGACCACCTCAGCTGACCCACAAGCACCCCAAATGCTACATGTATCTCAGTACCACCCCTGACCAGGCTGGCTCCCCAACCACATTTGTTCAGATGGTGAGTGCAAGCATTTCACACACACAGGTAGCTTGACTCTTCAGGATTTGGAGAAGGTACATAAATGAGCATTTCAGGGCACCACCCTAGGGAAAACAGATGAGAACCTCTTGACATCTGGCCTGGCTTTGTGGGATTGAGAAAATGCATGCAATTTTAAGGATTCCCCCCACCAAGTAAGAACCAGAAGTGTGAAGTAGGCACATGAATAGAAAACATGTAAGAGAGTCTCAGAATCCCTAGCTGGACTGTTAAAGGTGTTTCTCTCCCAAAGATAGCCAATAAAGATTGGAAGAAATGACTGATTCTTCAAATGCAAAGACAGCAATGCAAGACTTCAAAAACATGAAAAATCGGGAACTGGCCAGGTGTTGTGGCTCACACCTATAATCCTAGCACTTTGGAAGGCTGAGGCAGGCAGATCACCTGAGGGCAGGAGTTCAAGACCAGCCCAACATGATAAAACCCTGTCTTTACTAAAAATACAAAAAATTAGCTGGGTGTGGTAGCAGGCACCTGTAATCCCAGCTACTTGGGAGACTTAAGCAGGAGAATTGCTTGAACCCGGGAAATGAAGGTTGCCATAAGCCAAGATCATACCACTACATTCCAGCCCAAGGGACAAGAGCAAAACTCCATCTCANAAAAAAAAAAAAAAAAAAAATCAGAAACTATGACACAACCAAAGGATTGAAATAACAGTCCAGTAACTGACTTCAAAGAGATGGAGATTTGTGAATGGCCTGACAAAGAATTCAAAATAAATATTTAAGAAAGCTCAACAAGCTACAAGGGAACACAGACAACTCAATGATACTAAAAATATATGTAGGCTGGGTGCGGCAGCTCACTCCTGTAATCCCAACACTTTGGGATGCCAAGGCGGGCAGATCGCCAGATCAAGAGATCAAGACCATCCTAGCCAACATGGTAAAACCACATCGCTAACAAAAATACAAAAATTAGCTGAGCATGGTGGTGTGCACCTGTAGTCTCAGATACTCAGGAGGCTGAGGCAGGAGAATTGCTCGAACCCAGGAGGCAGAGGTTGCAGTGAGCCAAGACTGCACCACTGTACTCCAGCCTGGTGACACAGTGATACTCTGTCACAAAACAAAACAAAACAATAACTTCAATATAGAAATAGAAATTTAAAAAGAACCAAGTAGAAATTCTGATTGGATACAATGAATTAAATAAACACAATAGAAAGTTGTGTTTATTCATTGGATACAATGAATTAAATAAATGCAATAGAAAGTATTAATAGCAGACTTGATCAAGTAGAAGACTCTGTGAGTTTGAAGATAGGTCATTTAAAAATACACAAAGGAGAAAAAAATAAAAGGAATGAAGAAAGGTTATGGAGTTTATGGAATACCATCAAGAGACCTAACATTTGCATTATGAAAGTTTCAAAAGGAGAAGAGAGATGGGCAGAAAGCTTATTTCAAACAATAATGGATAAAAAGTTCTCGAATCTGGAAAGAGACAGGGATATCCAAGTACACGTAGCTCAAAGGTTCTGAAATAGATTCAACCCAACTAAGAATTCACCAAGACATATTACAATCAAACTGTCAAAAATCAAACCTGCACATTCTGGACATGTAATCAGAACTTAAAGTCTAATAAAAAAATAAATTTTAAAAAAGAGGATGTTGAAGCAAGAAGAGTGGCTTATCCCATGAAAAGGAACTATCATAGGCTATCAGAAGATTTCTCAGCAGAAACCTTATAGGCCAGGGGAATGAGATGATATATTCAAAGTTTTGAAGATAAACTACCATACAATCAAAAATACTTTTTCCATAATTGACACTAGAATCAATAATAGGAGGAAAACTGCAATATACAAATATAGAAACACAACATACTAAAACTTAAAAGATGCAGCAAAAGCAGTTTAAGATGGAAGTTTATAACAATAAATGTCTGCATGAAGAAAAAGGAAAGCCCTGATGAACATAAATGTAAAAATTCTCAACAAAATACTAAAAACCAAATTCAACAGTACATTAAAAGTTTCACACATCATGAGAAAGTAGGATTTATACCTAGGATGGTGTTCTACCTATGCAAATCAGTAGCCAGATGTATCACACTTCTTGATTTCAAATTATATTACAAAGCCATAATAATCTAAACAGCATGGTACTGCCATGAAAGCAGACACATAGGCAAATGGAACAGAATAAAAAGCCCAGAAATAAATCCACATATACAGTCAACTAATCTTTGACAAAACACCAAGAATACACAATGGGATAAAGAAAGTCTCTTCAATAAATGGTGTTGAAACAACTAGATATCCACATGTTAAAAAATGAAGTTGGACCCTTATACCTTACATAAATATTAACTCAAAATGGATTAGGGACTTAAGAGATCTGACACTGCAAAACTTCGAGGAGAAAACATAAAAGCTTCATGACATTGGTCTTGGCAATGATTTCTGAATATGACACCAAAAATACAACAAAAATAATAAAAGTTCCTGCATAGCAAAGGAAACAACAGATTAAAAGCAACTTACAAAATGGGAAAAAATATTTACAAATTGTGTATCTGATAAAGGGATGATATCCAAAATATATGAAGAATTCATACAATTCAATAGGGAAAAAAGAAATACTCTAATTAAATAGACATTTTCCCAAAGATGACATACAAATGGTCAACAGATACATGAAAAGGTGCTCAACATCACTAATTATCAAGGAAATGCAAATCAAAACCACGAGATATCACCTCACATCTTTAGGATGGCTGTGACCAAAATGTCAGAAGATAAGTGTTAGAGAGAATGTAGAAAAACAGGAACCTTTATACATTGTTGGTGGGAATGTAAATTAGCATGACCATTATGGAAACCAGTAAAAAAAGTGCCTCAGAAAATTTCAAAGAGAACTACTAGGTGATCCAGCAATCACACTGTGTCTATATACCCAGAGGAAAAGAAATCAGTGTGTCAGATATCTGCAATTCCATGTTCAGTAGCTAAGATATAGAATCAACCTGTGACCACTGATGGATGACTGGATAAAGAAATTGTGAGACACACACACACAGACACAGACACACACACACACCCCAGAATATTATTCAGCCTTAAAAAAAGAAAGTCCTGCCATTTGCAACAACATGAATAAACCTAGAGGACATTATATTAGGTAAAATAAGCCAGGTATGAAAAGACAAATACGGTATGGTCACTTATATGTGGAATCTAAAAATGTCAAACTCGGCTAGGTGTGGTGGCTCATGTCTGTAATCCCAGCACTTTGGGAGGCTGAGGCGGGTAGATCACAAGGTCAGCAGTTTGAGAACAGCATGGTCAGTATGGTGACACCCCATCTCTAGAGTAAACATACAAAAATTAGCTGGGTGTGGTAGTGCATGCCTGTAGTCCCAGATACTCAGGAGGCTGAGGCAGGAGAATCACTTGAACCCAAGAAGCAGAGGTTGCAGTGAGCTGATATCACGTCATTGCACTCCACCCTGGCAACCAAGTGAGACTCTGTCTCAAAAGAAAAAAAAAAGCCAAAAAAAAATAAAAGTCAAACTCATAGAAATAAAGAATAGAGGATAATTATTGGGGGCAGAGGGTGGGGAGATGGATGTTCAAAGGTTACAAAATTTCAGTGACAAGATGAATATGTTTTGGACACTTAATGTACAGCATGTTGAGTACAGCTAATTATCATGCACTATAATATAGCTGAAATTTGCTAAGAGAGTAATCTTTAGTCTCAACACACACACACACACACACAAGTGGTAACTGTGAGGTAATGAAAATGTTAGTTTGACTGTGGTAATTATTTCACAATGTATACATATATCAAAACATCACACTGTACACTCAAAATACATATAATTTATGCATCAATTATACCTCAAAAAAGCTGATAAAAATTATAATAAGCTTTCTGATAAATGGCGACCATTTGAGAAAAAAACAAAAGTGGATCCCTACTTCACTCCCTATATCAAAATAAATTTTGGATGTACAAAGAAAAAAATGAAAGTCCTTTATCAACTTAATTAATGATGTGGCATATATAAGAAGCATCTCATACAACCTGGAATGAAGTCATAGGCATGCAAGTAGGATATTATTATGGTGTTCATTTTTCTGTTTCCCACAATCCAAAATATATACCTAACCAAGAATTGAATGGGAATAAATAAAATGGCTTAAGCCAAAAAGAAAATATTTTGCACAGGGCTGTTGTAGCTTCAAAACACATTGTTCAGTTACAAAGGCTGAAACAATTCTAAGAACCATAATTTAATGAGTACTCTTAGCCAATGCTTAAGGCATTATTCCTGATTTTGCTTGTTTTTATTAGCTGTGTGAACAACAGCCACATCCAATGCCTCTGAATATTAATAATCATAGCAACAAGAAGTATGTATTGAGTATTTAACATGGGTGGAAATGTTCAGAATTTGTACACATCTATTATTTGGGGAAGATGAGTAATAGCTCACCCTAATGAATATATAAAAGGTTTTTTAATGAGGCTACATAGTAGTCCAATATTATCATCACATTTTTATATGTAAGTGTAATTTATGAACGCAAGTGTTGGTGTTTAAAATGAATAAATAATACAAAATATTCCTTGCTGTTACATTCTTCAGTGAAACCACAGTTAATAGTCTAACTAAATGAAGAGTGTGTTCAGGTAGTTTTAGCAGTACCTGGTGATTCCTGGGTTAACACTGGCCACGCATCCAACAACCATCACATCCTTGCTGAGTGCATCTTTACAGACATCAATACCGACCACCATCAGGGACTTTAACTATAAAATTAAATTTGTCATGATTTAATCAGATGAGGTATCATTTCCCCTAACAATGGTTTAACAGGAAGTTATTTTTAAAATGGTCTCCAGTTACTGAATTCTTAAAGTTAAGCTATGTATAAGGGAGATCAAGATGTAGATGAGGCTTTATTTTATTTATTATTAAACCAGAAATGAGAGGGACTTAAAGATGGCAGGAGAATATGATGCACACTTATCTTAAGAGACTCACTGTTGTCCAAGACAGCCATCATCCTTTGTGTGGGGGCAGGGGAAGGGGCACCAGTGGCTAAAGAGATTCCGGGACTGTGGTCAGTGCATTTATCACTTGCCTCTGGTTTGGAGGAATCTGAAGAGGAATTCCACTCTCCATTCTTCAGATCTCTAAGGAATCCTCCCTTGGCTATGCACCTTTGTGGGGAGTGGGAGAGAGGGAAGCTGAAGGTAACCGCATTCATCCTGGTTATGGACATGTAAGGAATGGGCAACACTACCTTGCTTCTCATTCTCCTTTCTTACTCCCATGGTGCCTACAGTTCAGGGAGGAGAAGAGGATTTTCTTAGTACCACAGTTTGGAGATTCAGATCACAGGGTATGCCATCTCCCCAAGCTCTGGGGAGGCCCCATCCAGGATGTAAGATTATTCTAAGAGTTAGCACCCTGCTGAAAGCAGGTAAATGTGGAGGCAATGGAACACAGATTTTAAAATAGCAGCTGAGAGGCTTCAAATCAGGTCCCTATGCTGAGTTAGTAGCTTAACTGAAGCTCCTGAGAAGCATGGAGCCTCTTTTGGAGATTCACCATGGCTTGTGGAATGCTAGAACCCAGGGTAGGGGCTCAACAAACTAGCAAACCATATAATTCTGGGATCATGTGATAACATCTCCTACTTTAATTTTTAAAATTAATTCATTAATTATGAAAAGAAAAAAATGTGACAGGGTCCTCACAGGTATTTCCACAGCCCACAGTTCGCCTCCGAGTTTGCAGGTCATCTGCATGGCAATCTTGGTGGCGATACTCATCATCATTCCCTGTTTATTCAAGGTCCGAGCAAGCACACATTGGCTTGGGACTGGGCAGTCTAGGCTCAAATATTTTTTAATGGAATCATAATAGGTCTTCTGATTAGAAGGCAGAATGCACATTACCTAAAAGCAAAAACAGCAAAAGATTTTAGAAATTAATTTACTTCTGCTAAGAAGTTGCTTTTTAAAGAAACGAATTCATGAATTATTCTCCAAACATCTTTTGCCCCTAAGTTCCCAAGAAGCAATATTAACATGCCTACAGTTACCTTAAATGGCCATTAAACTGCTGGTGAATTAATACCATTCAAAATGCCTTATCATTAGCCATTCTCTCTGCAAAGCACTACTCCACTCCTACCCGTCACCTTTTGCTTTTCCTTTCTCCTTGTTTCTCTCCTGATTTGATTCTGTCAGTTCCCTCAAATTCCCTTCTCACAGAGTTCCTTCTCCATATACCTCCACTCGCTCACCCCCAACTTTGCAGTTGAGTTCTCATTCCCACTGGTCCCTCCCTGACCCCACCTGAAGATAAGTGAAGTTGAGAATTACCTTAAACTAGAGTGCCTTTCCCATTAGGTACAAGATAACCAAAATAAAGGAAACAAACACACTTTTTTAAAAACTGGAAGCTGAGACTACGGATATAAGGGGAGGGAAAATAAGGACAGGGAAGTGTCAAGTCCCCCGGCATTTTTTATCCCACCTGTCTCTGTCACTACTCCTACTTCTTATCAGATCCTTTCCACACTGAAGGGCCTACCTCTGCCTCTTTCTCATCTTTTATTCTCCACTTTCAGAAGCCTCCAAATTGTAGAAAAGATATGCACTGTCATAATTAGCAGAAGAAAACCAAGTAATTTTTCCACCTATAGAATTGTTTAAAGTCATAATGTCAAAGGCTAAAATTATTTACACTTAATTATATAAAGTGAATAAAAATATTTTTAAATTATTAGCAAAAGGCTCTTAGCACCTTTCTTCTGACCTATGAGTTTGGCTCTAAGCAAGAAAAGTGGTAGAACATGGCAGTGGCCCAATGAACCTGGAATATCTTATTTTGCCAGAAAATAAGAAAGTGTTCTAAGAAAGACAGAGACACATGAAGCCAGCTTGATGTGATTTTCCCACTGGCAAAATCAGGTACAATATGGTGAGCATCAAAATAAATAATAAGAGTAATGAACTATAACAAAATAGGGATCTATGAGTCTATGCAGATATAAAGAAACAAATAAATGGGGAGAAGAGAAAGTTCTTCCTGTGCCACCTAATAAATGTAGAAGGACTGATGGAGTGGAAAACCATCATTTTTCAACCATCATAATAATGATAGATTTAGACAAAAATTATAGATACTAAGATAAATGGGTAAAAGTTTGAGGAGAAACAGGATTATTTATATATTCTCAAAATATATATGCACAGATGCAACTGATGAAACTGAACTTTACACTGGAGAAATCCGGCAGACATCACCGTAATCAATGGAGTGCCACAGGGTAGGATGCACTCAGAATATAGGACCATTGCTGTGCTACTCTTGTCAAAGTGCATATCCTGAATTTCATCATGAGGAGACATCAGACAAAACCAAATTGATGAACGTTATACAAAATAACTAGTTTGTACTCTCAAAATTGGAAGGTCATCAGAGTCAAAGAAAACTAAAGGGCTGTTCTATACTGAAGGAGAGACTGAAGAGACTGGACAAGTAAGTGCAAGACATTAGAGCCTTTTCCTGCAGAGGTGACTATTGACACAAATGAAGAAAACAGTTTCTTAATTTTGATGATTGTCATATGCTTCTGTAGGACAGAGACCTTGTTTACAGAAAATATGCACTGAAATAGTCAAGGGCACTGGAGCATCATGCCTGGAACTTACTCTCAAATGGTTCAGCAAAAAAATAATAATAAAGCAAATATAATCAAATGTTAATAATTTGGGATTCGGGGTGAAGGGTATATGGGAAAGTTGTTTGTACTATTCTTGTCACTCTTCTGTAAGTTTGATTTTAGTTAAGTAAAAAAATAAATGCTCTTAGGGTAAGAATTCTCTGTTTCATATAAGATCCTTTAGGGTAAAAGAGAAACTCACTAAAAGAGAGGCAAAGAGATAGCACTTAGCTAGTTAGTTCAATTAGTTTGCATGAGATATGAACAAGAATGTTGGAAGTTGGTCTGAGTTGGCCACGGAGGTGGGAAGGGTAGATGGGAAGGACAGGAAAAGCCCTGCAACAGCCCAGGGGTGCTGAGGCCTGGTAGAAGAGTAAACATTCCCAGGAAATAGGAAGCGTTGAAAGATTTTTAAGAAAAAGGATGTCAATTCTAATTTGTCTGGAATGTCGGGATGTGATGTAATCCTGCCTTGGCCCCAAACAGTCTGCAAAGACTGCTATACACACATGCCCTTTGGGAAATGAGGCAACTGTGGATGTCCCAGCAGGTGATGCAGGGCAGGAGGAAGTGGTCCTCACTGAGACGCACAGAAGATGGCAAGAATTCAGAGGAAGCAGGAATTTGGGGCCATAGGTCACTTGGAAAAACCTAACCAAGAATCCCCTGAAATATAGAAAACACTGGATATCAGCATTCATGGGATGAGATGGGAGTAGTTTATCTTATATCTTAAAGAAAAGACCTCAATGAGTTGGAAAATATGCAGACATCCAAGTGGATGCTATAGGGTTAACAAGAAGTACTGTGTTTAAAATTAACATTAGAAACGTGGAATGGAAATAAAATATTGATCAAAATACTAAGATTAATACTTTCTTGGGTACTTTGGGATAATGCATGGCAATCTGCAGATATATCATGGGAGGGTATGCTCAGACTGTAGATATAAAGCAGAACTAAAATTATAGATTAAAGGAGTTCAAAAACTATCCTATACTTACCAACTGAACATCAGGATCAACATGTTGCTGTACAGCTCTAACAAATGCAGCTGGAGTTTCTTGTACTTTTATGCTACATAAAAAGATTAATTTTGAAGCCATATAATTTCCTTCTTAGTAGCACATAATCATTGTATGGCATTAGAAATATAAATAAATTATCATGACAGAATAGCAGTCTTAGGAAACAATTATTACAGAAAAATAGAAACCTTTTGAGTCTAAAACTTTCTTTCACTGCAAAATATAAAAACATTTGCAATCATTTGTACAGTGTAAAAAATGGTTTGGTAGAAAATAAGATTTTCTCAATTGTACAGAATCCCTACAATCAATAATTATAATGTTCAAAATGGGATTGAAGGTGAACTTTTGAAATCCCATCTCATACTATCAAGTGTTGGAAAGAGGGTTCAAGCTCAACCAGGATTAAGATTTCTGTAAGAGTGAATTGCTGTGGAAATCTAAAAACGAATGTTTTAGAAAACATCAGGTTAATGAGACCAAGATATTCAGCTAATTTGCATGATTCAGACAAAAATATATTTATTTTCCTTAGTCGTTGCTTGTCTGGAGTCTGGAATGTCTAACCTTAATCAATCAGTGCACAAGTACTTAACAATTAATTATCTGTTCTGTGCTTACATTATGTTAGGGGCCAGGAGCTCCAGAAGTAATTCTCACACACGCAGGAATTTTTAAGACTAGTTTCTTTATGTAGAATCATCCTCTTTTATATGTCTATGAGTGAATTGTCACAATACCCAGTGGCCTTTTAAAACTCCCAGCAGGTGGCAGGACCAACTCCCTGAATGCAGATTCTAACAGACCTATATGACTAGCTGGCAGCCCCATCTCAGCAATTAAATGGTCCTGACTCGTTCAATTCAAACTATTGCACTCCAATTCTGCTGTACTTATAGACCATTCATTCTAAAATCATCAGGTGAATATTTTAGAAGAGAGAAGCTATGCCTCTAAATCTAGCTAGGTAGATGGATACTTTATGGAAAGAAGATGGTTGAAATAAAATATTAGCTTTCAAATAAAACAGGCCAAGGACAGAACATAGCAATGGGCTTGTTCCAGAATTCATGTGAGAAAGAGCCTGAGACATCAGCCCAGGGTCTGCGGACTGTGGCTTCTTTCATAATCTTTTCCTGCTTTATTAGGTCGTGCGTTAAGAGAAAGAAGAGCAGGTGAAACGCAAACCAGGCTGTTAACAGATTTGATAAGAGGAGAGTTCTAAACAATGGTGTTAAATGAGATTTTGGGATTAATACTTGCGCTGCTGATGTAATTAATTAGTAACTATGTGTTTAAAGAATAATTTCCTCTTGTGCCAATTAGGACATTTGCATCTCCACTATAGCAAAGAAAAGTAAGTATGTGTTCCTCTTTTCTAAGCATAGCAGGTTCAGTAAAGTGAGGCATGGCCAACTTAATGGCTTTCCAAAGCAAAACAGTATTTCATTTTCAGTGTGATTGTGTATGTACCTCTTACTAAATGAAAAACAGCTTATTTATCTTTCCCATCCCCAGCAACTGGCATAATATCTACACATATTAGCATTCAATAAACATTCTATGAATAAATGGTTGACCTTAGTCTTACCAGAAAGCTCTCTGAATGACTAATAGTATGCTATAGTAACAGAATCAGAGAAGTTTATTTGAGATCTATTTTTCCATTAAATTTTAAAGCATAAAATCTATCAAGTAAAAGTCAGGGCATGCAACTTTTATTTTTTAATATCTATTTGCTATTAAGTAACTGATATGAAAAACTGATCTGAAGGAAAAACAGCTGAGAAGACAATATATGGACTTAACAAAAATTTATGTCCCAACTAGTACTGAAAAGATTTAAAGGAATGACACTACTGCTTAAGAACTGTGTAAAAGATTTACAAAGACCAACATAAAATATATTTTAACTTTATGAAAGTTTAGTCATTACAAAATCTATCTACTTACTATTTTCTTGGCACTTTACATTAGGAAACTGTACTGAGATAAAGAAGCTTTTGTTGATATATCTGCCATTATTCCCTACCTTCTAACCAAACCAAATTAATATAGGAAGAAAATTCAATGTATTCTCACATTTTAGGGTAGTCCACAATAAATCCCATGGAATCTCCAACTCTTCTCAAGCAGTTCAGAAAGCTGTTGGCAACATATTCAGTTCTGTCACTACATAAAATCAACCAGGTATTCAAAGACTGTGCACTCAAAATTTTGCAAGTTCGAACATCCTTGGACCAATCGGCAGCAGACACAGGTTGACACTGAGAAAAATAATGATCATGAAAGGATTGAACAAATTTATTCAGAGAGCAACTAAATAAAGAGAGTGTGAAGATGGCCAACATTTGTCATAACTGTTTAACACGGTTTGCTCTTCAGTCTTAAAATACAGATGCAGGCACTGCATATCCAAACAGAATACATATGCTTTCTGGGAGTGGAAGCATGGGCATCATCCCAGGTCTTCCAGGCACTGGCAGAACCTTGAGAGGTCCCTTTAACCTCACGATTCTCCACGGTGTGCAGAGAATGATGTCTATTTCAAAGCTCTCTGAGGTTCCCTTCTAGCTCTGAGTATCTATGACCTTTATTATGAATGATTGAGGCAAACAGCCTGTATAGTTTTATCTTTTACTTTAAGCATCTAAATATCTCAGATAGTGCTGATTATCGATTCTCTAGGTCATCATACTAAATCTAACACATTCTAAGGAACAGTTAAGATTATATATTAAGCTAAGAGCAGGTACGCCTAGAAGCAAAGATGAAGCCAGGATGCAGGCTCCTTTCTTATTCTCAAAAGATCTCTCACGTCACCAGGAGAAACGGGTTTCCTGCACTGAAGAGGGGGAACGTTAGCCTGGTTTCCAGACCTCTGCTTCTATCTCCAGACTGTAATCGAATGATGCCTTTGGCATAGCAAGTGGGGAAGATCCACTGTTAGAATTAAAAGGGGCCACACTGTATGCAAATCCCCTGCTACTTGAAGTGCTGTCAAGTGCTACTTGATCAGCAGCATGAGCATCACCTAGAAGCCAGTTAGAAATGCAGAGTCCTGGGCACCACCCCAGACCCACTGAATCAGAATCTGCATGTTAACACTGTCCCCCAGGTGATTCACATGTATATTAATATATAAGAACCATCCCAATCCTCTTGTTTTACAGACTAGAAAGCTGTGGTTGAGAGAAATTATGAAACCAGTTGGCAGCAGTGACAGGCTTAGAATGCTGGTCTCCTGACATGGCAGCCAGGGGGGCACTTGAGACCAAGCACTCAGACTTCTCTGATTTCCAACCATCAGCCATCCTCCTGATGTCTTCCACTAGGTGGCTGGGCTGGATTCGGCTCCAGGAGTCAACCTCAGTCTGAGAACAAAGGGGAAAGGCTAGCTCTCCATCAGTGGTGTCTCTGCAGCCAAGGTGCATTCCTGTCCATGAGAGCCAGCATGAGAAGAGCTGTAGTCCTTCTGCCCACAACACTTCTTCCTGCTGTTGTCTTAAGGGGCTGGGATGAGACCTAGGACAATGTACCCTGAGACCTTTGAGCTTTTAGTTCATTCAGTTCCTAGGACCTAATTTCAGAAATGCAGAATGGGTCAAGAAGTTGATGACATTGTCATCTTAGCCACCTGCTACCTCCAGTGCATGAGTTCACTGGTTTTAATGCCTTTTCTCCTGTGGACACTAGTTTCTACAGTAAAAAATGCAAATAAATAAATAAATAAGAAAAGCTTTGGGAAATAACGATTTTACTTACAGAGATTATGAGATGGATCATTTTAAGTACCTAAGTCCTTCACATGTGGATCTGAAACTGAGCTTCTCTTTACTGACCTCTCACTGAGACCCTAATGGGGGTCTACATTTTAATACTTTATAATAAAATTTGTTTTGTGTGAAAAATAATACTTCCTCAGCTTCTCCACTGAGAGTTTTTGTAACTTGGATAGATTACTGTAAAGAAACGATGAGGCCAGACACGGTAGCTCATGTCTGTAATCTCAGCACTTTCAGATGCTGAGGTGGGAGGATGACTTGAGCCCAGGAGTTCAAGACCAGCCTGGGCAACATAGGGAGACCCAGTTTCTACAAAAAATACAAAAATTAGCTGGGTGTGGTGGTGCACACTTATAGTCCCAGCTTCTTGGAAGGCCAAGATGGCAGGATCACTTGAGTTCAGGAAGTTAAGGCTGCAGTGAGCTGTGATCATGCCACTATGCTCCAGCCCAGGCAACAGAACGATACCTGTCTCAAAAAAAAAAAAAAGAAAAGAAAAGAAAGAAAAAAGAATCCGCCCATTCACCAACATGATACATTCATTGTTCAGTTAGATCAGTTAGGCATACTGGTTTATTATATCAAATAAAGGAAAGAAGAGAGCCTTTAAAAATGAAAAGAAATGCAACTGGTTTTTTAAAGTGGGCAAAACTGAGGGAGAGGGTAGAAAGATAATTATAATTTTTGCATAAAATATTAATAGTTTCATTTCTTCAACAGAAGTCTGCAAGTAGCAATGATTTTTCTCTTCAGGTTTCAGAATGCCTGTCTCCCCAACTACTATGTCTGGGACTGGGTTCTGGGCATAGTTCTTGATTTTTATGCCCATTGAGCAGTATTTTATTTTGAAAGGTTAACATACACAACTGACATGGCAACTAAAAGTCCAGGTTTGGTATCAGAAAACAGTCTATTAGAACTAATGTTCACCAGTTAATAGAAGTTCCTCAGATGACTATGGCTTTTTAAAAATTTTACTTTAGGTTCCGGAGTACATGTGCAGGTCATGCAGGGTTGTTGCATCGGTGCATACATAACCAGGTGGCTTGCTGTCTCTATTCCCTTTTTGACTATGTCTGGCATTTCTCCCCATGTTATCCTTCCCCATCCCCTGCTGTCCCTCCTCTAGCCCCCCAACTGCTTCAGTGTGTGATGCTCCTCTCCCTGAGTTCACGTGTTCTCATTGTTCAACACCCGCCTATGAGTGAGAACATGTGGTGTTTGGTTTTCTGTTCTTGTGTCAGTTTGCTGAGAATGATGGTTTCCAGATTCATCCAAGTCCCTACAAAAGACACAAACTCAACGTTTTTTATGGCTGCGTAGTATTCCATGGTGTATATGTGCCACATTTTCTTTGTCCAGTCTGTCATTGATGGGCATTTGGGTTGGTTCCACATCTTTGCTATTGTGCACAGGGCTGCAATGAAAATATGTGTGCATGTCTTTATAGCAGAAGGATTTATAGTTCTTTGGGTATATACCCAGTAATGGATTGCTGGATCAAATGGAATTTCTATTTCTAGATCCTTGAGAAATTGCCACATTGTCTTCCACAGTGGTTGAACTAATTTACATTCCCACCAATTATGTAAGAGTGTTCCTATTTCTCCACATCCTCTCCAGCATCTGTTGTCTCCAGATGTTTTAATGATCGCTATTCTAACTGACATGCGATAGTATCTCAATGTGGTTTTGATTTGCATTTCTCTAATGACCAGTTATGGTGAGCATTTTTTCATATGTTTTTTGGCCTCATATATACCTTCTTTTGAAAAGTGTCTGTTCATATCCTTCACCCACTTTTGAATGGGGTTGTTTTTTCCTTGTATATCTGTTTTAGTTCTTTGTAGATTCTGGATATTAGCCCTTTGTCAGATGGGTAGACTGCAAAAATATTTTCCCATTCTGTTGGTTGCCAGTTCGCTCTAATGATGGTTTCTTTTGCTGTACAGAACCTCTGAATTTTAATTAGATCCCATTTGTCTATCTTGACTTTTGTTGCCATTGCTTTTGGTGTTTTAGTCATGAAGTCCTTGCCTATGCCTTTGTCCTGGATGGTTTTGCCTATGTTTTCTTCTAGGGTTTTTGTGGTGTTAGGTTTTATGTTTAAATCCGTCTGGAGTTAATTTTAGTGTAAGGTGACAGGAAGGGGTCCAGTTTCTGCTTTCTACACATTGCTAGCCAGTTTTCCCAACACCATTTATTAAACATGTAGTCCTTTCCCCATTACTTATTTTTGTCAGGTTTGTCAAGGATCAGATGGTTGTAGATGTATGGTGTTGCTTCTGAGGCCTCTGTACTGTTCCATTGGTCTATGTCTCTGTTTTGGTACCAGTACTATGCTGTTTCGATTACTGTAGCCTTATACTATAGTTTGAAGTCTGGCAGTGTGATGCCTCCAGCTTTGTTCTTTTTACTTAGGATTGTCTTGGCTATGTGGGCTCTCTTGTGATTCTATATGAAGTTTAAAGTGGTTTTTTCCAGTTCTGTGAAGAAGGTCATTGGTAGCTTGATGAGAATAGTGTTGAATCTACAAATTACTTTGGGCAGTATGGCCATTTTCACAATATTGATTCTTCCTAACCATGAGCATGGAATGTTTTTCCATCTGTTTGTGTCCTCTCTTATTTTGTTGAGCAGTGGTTTGTAGTTCTCCTTGAAGAGGTCCTTTACATCCTATGTTAGTTGTATTCCCAGGTATTTTATTATCTTTGTAGCAATTATGAATTGGAGTTCGCTCTTGATTTGGCTTTCTGTTTGTCTGTTATTGGTATATAGGAATGCTTGTGATTTTTGCACATTGATTTTGTATTCTGAGACTTTGCTGAAGTTGCTTATCAGTTTAAGGAGATTTTGGGCTGAGACAATGGGGTCTTCTAAATACACAATCATGTCATCTGCAAATAGAGACAGTTTGACTTCCTCCTTTCCTAATTGAATACCCTTTATTTCTTTTTCTTGCCTGATTGCTGTGGCTAGAACTTCCAATACTATATTGAATAGGAGTGGTGAGAGACGACATCCTTATCTAGTGCCTGATTTCAAAGGGAATTCTTCCAGCTTTTGCCCGTTCAGTATGATATTGGCTGTAGGTTTGTCTTAAATAGCTTTTACCATTTTATGATACGTTCCGTCAATACCTAGTGACTATGGCTTTTTAAATGAGCAATGCACCACCCAACAGAAGATGGGTATGTTTAAATTGCAATGATTTGAAATACTGTCTTCTGACTAACCTAAATCATGTCCACTGGATGCCGCTAAGTCCATGCAAGGAAATTCAGATTGAAAAGGAAACCACAGGGGATCTGAAGTCTTAAGATAAAGAGATGGAAGTACTTGGCCAGGGAGAAAGCAAATATAAGCTCTCAAGCCACTCTGGCCGATCCACAAACTTACACATATACGAATAAATACTTTAAAATGAAAATAAAATCACAGCACTTACTATGTGGTCTTGCATTAATATTTTTTCTGAAGGCACAATCCGGCCAGTCAGAGATACCTGGCTTCCAAAATGCAGTCCCCAGGTCTCTAGTTCAAAACGAGCATTGGTGTTCCTGTTGATAGAGTTGTTTTAAATCATTAAAGTGAGATATAATTATACTTACTGAATTATTCAGGGGCTGATTTTCTGTGTCTTCAAGATTCCTGGATTCTAATTCTGCTCACCACATATTTTCCATGCTTAAAAGAATTATGGGACAACTGTGCTCATTTGGGATGTTCATGAATGGGAAAAGGATTCCAGTGGGAATACAGTGGTTAGAAAAATAAGCTTTTGAGCCAGACAGACCTCGGTTTAACTCCTAGCTCCAACATTTAATAATATATGACCTTAAGCAAACTATTAATCTTTAAGGCCTTGGTTTCCTTACTGGAAAAATGTAAGGATAATAAAAGTACCTACTTAAGGCTAGGCACGGTGGCTCACACCTGTAATCCCAGCACTTTAGGAGGCCAAGGCAGATGAATCACGAGGTCAGGAGTTTGAGACCAGCCCGACCAACATGGTGAAACCCCGTCTCTACTAAAAATACAAAAATTAGCCAGGCATGGTGACATGCACCTATAATCCCAGCTACTCAGGTGGCTGAGGCAGGAGAATCGCTTGAACCCAAGACTTGAACCCAGGAGGCAGAGGCTGCCGTAAACCGAGATTGCGCCGCTGCTCAGCAACAGAGCAAGACTCGTCTCAAAAAAGAAAAAAAAAAGTACCTATTTCATAGGGCTGACATAAAGATGAAATATGATAATACACAGAAAAAGCTTACTACAGTCCCTGGCACATGGCATGTGCTCAAAACCTATGAGATATTATCATTCTTGATAACACAGTTGTTAATAAAGAGATATTTTGGAGCCACTGGATGTGGAGATGTCTTTTGTGAATATCTGAATTTGTTGAGAGTCGAGGAAGGATGATAAAAGAAAGGAACATAAGAATTTAAGCTTCAGAAGATTCGGAGTCTTCCTATTACCCTGTCTATCCTATGAGAATATTAATGTCAGCAATAATAACACTACTTTCTATTGTTTAGTACTTTCCATTTATAA